CTATATTCAAGCGTGTCCTGAAGAAGATCTACGGTAACGAGAAGGGTCTTGATGTTGTCAGTGACATGTTTACGGATCCCTTCGCTGTTGTCCCCGTCGTCCTTGCGCGGCTTAAGCAAAAGGATGAGGAGTGGCGATTCACGCAGAGGGAATGGGAAAAAGTATGGCAGGCGCAGACGGAGATCATGCACCTCAAGAGTCTTGACCACATGGGTATCCAAGTTAAACAGACTGACAAGCGGACTCTCTCTGCCAAGCATCTGGTGGATGTCATCAAAACAAAACACGAAGAGCAACGACGCTTGCGCAGCTCGAAGAATAAAATACCACGACACCAGTTCGCATATGAGCTGAGTGACCAGGAGGTCATCTTAGACCTACTCCGATTCATGGTCCTCTACGGTACGAATAATGGCCACCATAGTACCTCCGAAAAGGAGCGGATCGTTGAGTTTTTCGAGTGGTTTATCCCACGTTTCTTCGAATTGTCGGAAGAAAAAGTACAGGATCGGCTCCATGATATTGATCGCGAGTCTGGCGAAGAAGATACCGAGGAACAACTTCCTGCAGAGCTGACTAACGGTCGTGCCCGACGCAACGGCAAGAGATCTGACTTGCTCCGCGGCGTTTTAGATCCTGGCCGTAACGGTGCCAAGACTAGAAACCAAAAGGAGGATAGTGCTGCATCTGGTAGCAAAGAGACAACCCCGGACGCAGGGTCCGCGAACGAAGAAGAGATGGCAGACGCTCCAGAGGATTCCCTCCCTACTGAACAATCTAATGAGCGGTGGCTGCCTATAGTACCTCGAGCGACTGTGGTAAAGGGTGACAATCCGCTCCTAGATATAGACGGCGAGTTGAGAGCTGATGGGCTCTTCCCTCGTCCGTGGTACAACTTCTTTTGCAACCAGACTATTTATGTATTCTTTACTGTGTTCCAGACGCTATACAAGCGTCTCAAGGACGTCAAGGAGAGCAAGGAGAGCGTCTTGCAAGAAATTGCCCGATCGAAGAGCAAGAAGCCCGCTAAGGATCTTGGCATCGCCGTCAATGAGCTTAACTACTTCGACGAGAACGAACCTGCCTCATTCTGGCCAAAGACGGTCGAGCTTATTGAAGATTATATCACCGGAGAGATTGATGAGAATCGATATCAAGAAGTGCTCCGTCATTATTATCTCAAGAAGGGCTGGACTTTATATACAATCCAAGACCTCTTGAAGACGCTATGCCGCCTCTCCCTGACGTGCACCAGCCTCGACTCAAAGGAGAAGACGCCGGATCTCATTCACCACTTCCTGAACAATCGTCATAATGATGTGACCAGTTACCAAACAGAAATTAGCGCCCGCAAGTACGCCGAGAAGTGTATTAAGGATGGCGATATGTTCGTTATTTGCTGGGTAAGTACTATTCTGTCTGCTGATTTTGCCTACTCGGCTGCTAATCGTGACATATAGTTCCCACATAAGCGCGAAGCTACAACGCGATGGCTGCAGCGTGACGAGACGACGTTTTACATGGATGAGATGGAACTGCGCGACAGATGGCAGTATTACATCTCGTCGTACATGCGCGTAGAGCCTACTGAGGGGGTACCTCGCTCTCGCCTTCAGAAGACAGTCCTTGCTCGCAACTTGCCATCGACCGAAGCCGACTCCGATGATGGCAATGTGCCGAAGCCTCTCATGTATAACGAGGGTTTAGTCTTGCGTATTTGCCTTAACTCCAATAAAATCGTCTGGGAAAAGGACACGTCCGAGTTCTTTGTCTATTCAACAGAACCCGAGGATAATAAGGACAAGGCCGCGGTTGAGGAGTACCGCCGCGCCATCACCGAACATCGCGAGCAGCGGTTTCGAGAGAAGATGGTTATGAACAACGCTTGGATGCGGGGGATGAGTCAGGACGAGGTCCAGAAAGTCAACGAGAACTTCCAGAAGTGGTTCAAGGACGGCATCTCGCCCAATGCCAACGGCCGGGGAGAAGACAGCGAGAATATGGAAGGGCTTGAATAGGCAGACGCCTACTCCAACTTCGCGTACGAGTACTCGGCTTGGCTAAGTACCTAGCCCCAGGAGTGATTAGACGGTGGTGAGATTTGATTACGCATAAGCATAAAGGCATCACGACTGGCGCTGGGGCGTTGGTACTTGAGTGTATATCCTCCCTTCTACGAAGACCCCCTTTTCTTTTTCTGTTTGTTGCATACGTGCAGTCGAGGCCGAGCAAACTGGGCAGGATGATGCTTTTCTCATTAGTTTGTATTATACATATGCTGATCGACACCAAATGCGCCGTGTAGGCACCAATGGTCGTCCTAGTGCTTTTTTTGTGATTTACATAGCAGCGAACATACTATTATTCCAAAGACTTAAGAAGCTGAGGCAGAAGCGCAGAGTGTGTGTGTCGGTGTGCTTACACTAGGACATCATATCACATAGAAGAATACACAGCCTGTCAATTTTATAGAGATTTCAGAATTGTAGAATTACTACCTAAGCTAGATAAGGTAGGTAGGTAGATATTGGGTATGCATTACATATCTTATTCTCCCCGTCCTCGAGCAAAAAATAGCTCTTCAATTTGCTTACGCTTTTTTTCTTCATCTTAGCAGTTGAATGGCCATGGTTCTTTTTAACGCGTTGCAACATTACCCAGGTAGATCCATACTCGTCTCGTCCACTCATTTCATTATATTCGTGAATCCCGTCTCGTACGGACTACAGTCTCCTCCCCGCCTTCATGCAGTCATTGTAAGCTCTCAATGACGATAGCGCTGGCGCCACCGCCACCGTTGCAGATACCAGCAACGCCGATCTTGGCCTTCTTCTCGCGCAGGACGGTGGTCAAAGTGGTGACGATGCGGGCGCCGGAGCAGCCGAGAGGGTGGCCGATAGCGACGGAGCCACCGAAGACGTTGACCTTGTCGCTAGTGAGGCCGAGCAGCTTCATGTTAGCTAGGGCAACAACCGAGAAAGCCTCGTTGATCTCGTAGAAGTCGACGTCCTTGTCTGTCAGGCCGGCGTGCTTGATGGCCTTAGGGATGGCAAGGGCGGGCGCGGTAGTGAAGCGCTGGGGCTCGCGAGCAGCGTCACCCCAACCGCGGATCTTAGCGATAGGTGTTACGCCCAACTCCTTGACCTTGGCCTCGGACATGAGCACGAGGGCGGCAGCGCCGTCGTTAAGAGGGGCGGCGTTGGCAGCTGTGACGGTACCACCCTGGGGCTTGAAGACGGGGCGCACCGTCTTTAGCTTCTCGGGGTTCAGGTTCTTAACCTCCTCGTCGGTTGTGATCTGAACTGGGGGCTTGCCTCGGCCGGCGCTGACCTCGACGGGCACAATCTCCTTGGAGAAGACGCCGTCGGCGGTGGCCTTCTGGGCGCGGCTATAGGTCTCGATGGCGTACTCGTCCTGCTGCTCACGGGAGATGCCGTGGTCGTCGGAACATAGCTCACCGGCGAGACCCATGTGTTCCTTAGCGTAGGCATCGGTCAGACCATCCTTCAGCATGCCATCGACGAGGGACTGGTCCCCGAACTTGGCGCCGTTACGCAGGGTGGGCAGGTAATGCGGAGTGTTGGACATGGACTCGGTGCCGCCGGCCACAACGATGGAGGCATTACCGGTTATGATGGTCTGGGCGCCCAGAATGATGGCCTTTAGGCCGGAAGCGCAGACCTTGTTCACACCAGTGCAGACGACCGAATCTGGAAGGCCAGCACCGATAGCGCATTGTCGGGCGGGTGCTTGCCCAAGGCTAGATATCTAATGTTAGCTTCCCCTCACTCTGCTTGTTGAAGTCTATAGGAATAAGACATACCCGGCAGACAGCACGTTACCGAAGAAGACCTCCTCTACATCTTCAGGCTTGATCTGAGGGACTCGCTCGACGGCAGCTGTAGACAAATCGCGTAAGTGTGCTACCCAAGTCAAGCTGTGTGACCCTAGCTGGGAGAGACATACCCTTGATAGCGTGGGATCCCAACTGAGTGGCGCTGAGACTCGACAACGTTCTAATAGTTCAAGGGTTAGTTTCATAAACCACATCAAGAAGAGGGGAGGGAGGAGGGAGGGTAAACTGGTAACAAAAAGTAAAACTCACCCTAGGAACGACCCCACGGGGGTTCGAGCAGCTGAGACGATGTAGACGGAGGGAAGATTCGACATATTGAATTATGACAGAAGATCTCACAGCTCGGAAGAAAAGGAGAGGAACAAAAAAAAAGCAAGTAAAATTTATATATTTCAGTTGTTTCTGTTGTTTCTGTTATTTTAGGCTCGAAAATGTTGAGCTGCCAGAATAACAGAATGGCCCCCCTTACAAGAAGAAAAGACGATATGGTGGGAAATATTCACCGCCCCTCTATTTATCTTTTATCTTAGCTAGCATATTGTGCATATTGTGCTACCGAATATAGCGGATCTGCGGTTAGCCCCTACCTACATGAGGTAGTACCTATCTGTACATACCTACCTTTTCGCATTGGACGAGCAGGACGAGGTACCTTGGAGCTCACCTAAGTTGAGTTGTGAACAATGTACTATGTGGCACAAAGTATGTACATGTAGCAAATGATCGGAGTTTCTTCCACTTAACCAAGTTTGGTATGGTCGTACAATACATGTAGTGTCCATTAAACTTACTCCGGTTAGGTCAAACTCCCAAAAGTCAATTCGTTGGTCGTACCTTACCTTGCCGAATCAACCTAGGAAGTAAGGATATTGCTACATAGGTACCTTAGGTAGGTAGATACCGAATAGGAGAGTGGGGTTGGTGTTTTGGTCCTGAGATTGGAGGATCCCTAGGTACTATGTAGTTAGCCGTTAGATAGGTAAGTTCCATAAAAAGTTAAGCCACTGTCCGCTTATCGGAGCACATTACCTAAGGTACGTACCTCAATAACCTCATGGCCCAGCCTTGTCATTAGCCACTAAATAAATTTGCCATTAGCCACAGCACAGAACGCGCTATAGTCAGCCTTGCATCTCGACTTTATAACTTTTCTAAGCGCGACAACAAGCTATCGTCGTATTTCTACCTAAAACCTCATTGACCTACGCCTAAGCCTCATTTACGCCATGGATGATCTTTATGATGAGTACGTATATTTATTTTCTCGCGTTCCACTCCTAGGCTAACTATATTAACCAGGTTCGGAAATTTCATCGGGGAGGATGCCGAAGCATCTGAGGAAGAATCCCAGCATGGCGTTGACGCGGGCGCGTATCTCGATGACGAATATCCCGAGGAGGCGCCCGAAGTTACAGGGCAGGAATTAATGGAAGTAGACAATGAAGGGCCCTCAAACGCGGTGGTATTACACGAAGACAAGCAATATTACCCGACGGCGCAACAAGTATACGGAGCAGACGTCGAGACGTTAGTGCAAGAGGAAGATGCACAACCGCTCTCACAACCGATCGTCGCACCGGTTGAGGTGAAGAAGTTTTCTATCGAAGAGGTCAACCTTCCTCCCGTCCACTTCGACCGTAATTTCATGACCGATCTCATGAACTTCCCCGATCAAATACGGAATGTAGCTCTAGCTGGAGATTTACATCATGGCAAGACCGCGTTTATGGATATGTTAGTCCTCGAGACGCATGATATATCTGACAGGCTAGAGAAGCGAACGGGCAGAAAGAGAGACGAGCAACTACGATATACCGATACGCACGTGGTGGAGAGGGAAAGGGGCCTTTCCGTAAAGGCGGCGCCGATGAGCTTAGTCTTACAAAGCACTAAGGGCAAGTCTCACTTATTCAATATAATAGATACCCCAGGTCACGTTAACTTCGTCGACGAGGTTGCGGCGGCGTTGCGGCTGGTGGATGGCGTTGCGCTGGTCGTGGATGTAGTGGAAGGAGTACAGGTCAACACGGAGCAGATCATCAAGCATGCCGTCCTCGAAGATATCCCGATGACCTTGATAATCAACAAGGTCGATAGGCTTATACTAGAACTAAGGCTGCCGCCGAGCGATGCTTATTTCAAGCTAAAGCACGTTATCGAGGAGGTAAATACCGTCATTGAAAATACTCGGCCAGGTTCCGGAGATCAGAAGCGGTTAAGTCCAGAGAAGGGGAATGTGCTATTCGCGTGTAGCGAGATGGGCTGGTGCTTCACGCTGCAATCCTTCTCAAAGATGTACGCGGATGGTTTCCCCGGTGTGAATACCGAGGAATTCGCTAAACGCCTCTGGGGCGATATCTACTTTAATCCGAAGAAGAGAACCTTCAGCAGGAAACCTCTGCCCGGTGAGGAACGCGCAAAGAGATCGTTTATCCACTTCGTCTTAGAGCCTATCTATAAGGTTTTCTCCCATACTATCAGCCAGAGTCCCGAAGAACTGAAGGGTGTACTGGCGACGCTAGGCATAGTACTGAAGCCGTCACAGTACAAGACGGACGCTAAGGTGCTGCTCAAGCTGGTCTGCGAGCAGTTCTTCGGCCCGTCGACCGGCTTCGTCGATATGATTGTCAAGAATGTTCCATCTCCGTTAGAAGCAGCAGAACGCAAGTTGGAGCAGTATTATACCGGCCCCTTGGACACCAAGGTAGCCGAATCTATGAAGAAGTGCGATCAAGATGGCCCATTGGTCGTACACATCACAAAGTTGTTTAATTCCTCAGATGCGAAGAGCTTTTACTCGTTTGGTCGGGTGATGAGTGGTATTGCTCGACCTGGAATGCAAGTGCGAGTGCTCGGAGAGGGTTATTCTATCGATGATGAGGAGGACATGGCTACGGCTACTATTTCCAACGTCTACATCGCCGAGACGCGATACAATGTCGAAACCAGCGGAGTCCCCGCCGGTAACTGGGTGCTACTGAGCGGCGTTGATAATTCGATCGTGAAGTCGGCGACAATAGTACCGCCGAAACTCGAGGATGACGAGGAAGCCTACATCTTCAGACCGGTTACGCATTTCACAGAATCGGTTCTGAAGGTAGCAGTCGAGCCTATCAACCCCTCGGAGCTCCCGAAGATGCTTGACGGCTTACGAAAAATTAACAAAAGCTACCCTCTAATCACTACCAAGGTGGAAGAATCGGGGGAGCACATCATTTTAGGTACTGGTGAACTGTATATGGACTGTGTCCTCCACGACCTACGACGGTTGTACGCAGATATGGAAATCAAGGTTTCGGATCCCGTCACGCGCTTCTGCGAGACAGTAGACGAGATGTCAGCTACCAAATGCTACGCCATTACACCGAACAAGAAGAATAAGATTACTATGGTCGCCGAGCCGCTCGACGATGGAATCGCGGAAGATATCGAGAGCGGCCGCGTCAAGATGCAAGACGGTGCCCGAAAAGTGGGCAAGTTCTTCCAGGACAAGTACGGATGGGATCTGCTGGCCGCGAGGAGCATTTGGGCATTCGGCCCGGATGAAAAGGGGCCTAATATCTTGCAGGACGACACACTCGAGGTAAGTCGACCATTCTGTTGTTTCCCCCCACCATATTGTGACCTTGAAAGCTCGGCGTCTTACTACACATGCGATTTCTGTAGCGTGGAGTGTCACCCTATGGGTCCGCATGCGGCAATACCTTCGCGAATTCAGCCTCACCATTCTAGAATCTTGTTCTACTTGGATCACACCTAATCTTTTCGGCAGGTGGATAAGACGCTTCTCAGGAGCGTGCGCGAGACCATTCGTCAAGGTTTCAGTTGGGCTACCAGAGAAGGCCCTCTATGTGAAGAACGTGAGTACCTACATTCCGTTGCATTTGATTGCCATTCCTACCCAACCCAGCGTCGATCCCACGCTCTCCGCCACGTCCCATCTAGAACCCTTTTAGTCTACGTTCCTTACATACGTTTACTACCTAAAATCGTTTATGCCGAGGTTAGCACCTCGTTGCTCACAAGCCATTGGCCATTAGCACATTGGAGCGAGGCGAAGGCGTTCTACTGTTATTAGCGTAGCAGCTTGTGTCCCTGCTCGAAACATCCAAGGCGCTAGGCGTCGAGGGACCGTTCAAGATGGTGTTACGGCAAACGTGGAGATAGACGATAGACCTATCACACTATGCGTTAGGTAGCTTGACAAGTTCCAAGCATGGACTGCAACCCATGTCCGTACCTTGCCAAGACACAAGCTATGAGTTCTTGGGACCAGGGGACCCTGCTCTGTGCATTGTGCAGATTCGATCAGGCTTCGTCTATCGAACCCGTAAGGCGAGGTCTGCGTACACCAGGGGTACGAGGCACTAACACCACAGAGCCTACCGGAAGTACCCATATTCAAGGATCACTTATTAGGGGTCTGTCTCGAGAACAGCCTTTGTTGCATCCGCGTGTGACATACCCCCAATTGAGTAACATCACAGAATGAACCAGATGCCGATCAATGACGTTATTACACCTTGACTTGGCGGAGTTTGCTAACTGTTGATTGCAATTGTAGCGATCCGCAACACCAAGTTTCGTATCATGGACGTATCCCTAGCACAGGAGGCAATATTCAGGGGCGGCGGTCAGATCATTCCAACCGCACGACGCACGTGCTATAGCTCATTCCTCATGGCATCGCCGCGCCTCATGGAGCCTTTGTATGCGTGCTCGATGACAGGTCCCCAAGATGCCGTCCCCGTGCTATACAATGTTCTAGCTCGCAGAAGAGGCCACGTACTATCGGACGGTCCGATCGCAGGTACACCACTATACCGCGTCAGTGGTCTAATTCCGGTGATCGACTCGTTCGGCTTCGAGACGGACGTCCGCATCCAGACGCAAGGCCAGGCCATGGTGAGCCTCGTCTTCGACAAGTGGCAGAAGGTGCCCGGAGACCCGCTCGATAAGGAGGTAGTGTTACGACCGCTACAACCCGCCGATGCCCAGGCTACGGCTAGAGACTTCGTACTCAAGACCAGAAGACGCAAGGGTCTCAGCGAGGATGTAAGCGTGGCGAAGTTCCTCGAGCCCGAGTTCTATCAAAGTCTCATGGAGAGCGGCACGCTTGGTAGTCCATGAAATATATAAGTTTTCAAAGGCGCCCCCTAGCACAGAAGAAAGAGCCTAGATTCGACAATACTAGCAACTATATTGTACAGTTAGCACACGGGTAGTTAGTTCATCAGTAGCCTTCTATAGGCCCATATTAACGGATAGGTGCCCAGGGTAAGAAGCAGACAGATCTGGGCCACAGCTCGCTGATCTAGAAGGATTCAGCTCCAAGGCTACCCCACAAAACATCAACGTAGGTTAATGGACAGATACTAACTACCTACCTACCTATGTATCATGTGTAAAGAGCACACAAGGCCATCTAAGCTCTATAGTAGTTTAATAAACAGGGAGAAACTTACAATATCAACTAAAGTCTTTCCTATCCTTGTTCCCACCAGAACATTCCCGACCAGTGATTCGCGCGGCAAGAACAGAAGGGCCGCAAAGCAAGAAGAGCCTCTAACCTGGCCTGTCACGAGTAACGCCGGAACCGCGCGACGTGATTGGTTACCTGCTCGCCTAACCTAACCCTGAGGGTAGTGACCCATGTCTATGTGTTCTTGCTGGCTGGCTGGCTGTCCGGCCTCGCGTACCTTAGGTACGTATACGAGGTACGGCCAGCAGGCGGCTAGTAACGGTAACAGTACTGGGCTGTCTGCCAACCGGATTCTTGTTGCCCGCGGCACATGTTTGAGATATATATGTGACCGGTAGTATACCCCCACGTTTTGTAAGTGTGAGATAAATCCGGACTGAGGGAATAAGCCAGCTAGCTGACTCGGCGGGTGGGTGGGTGGAAATCTGGGGATTCTGCTGTGGATCGGGAAGGGCCGGATGGCGGGTAGCGAGGACGGATGTGCATGTGTAGGTTAGGGTAGGGCTTGGGACAAGTAGGTAGGTAGGGAGGTAGGGAAGCGACAGGGAGGCGATAGATAATGGTGGTGGTTTGAATGTTGGTTTACCTAGCAGAGGAATGGAATGGGTATTGGACAAGCTAGGGGGAAGAAGGGGGGGTGTGGGTTGGAAGCTGGATGGAAGAATTGGGGGAACGGGGGGGCAGGCAGGCAGGCAGGCAGGCCAACAGTGCCGGCGACTGACGGGACAGGGCGAATGGGAAGATGCTCGAGTCATGTGAGGTATAGGCGAGCGTGTGCGGATGTATGAATGTGTGAAAGATCTACATTGCAGTTTCTTTTTCTCTCTCGCGCCAGCCGTTTCCGAGTTGCATGCATATATGGGTGATAGGTCTCTCTCTCACGGTTCCATTTTTGGCGGTTTTCCATACGCCGTGCGTTGTTACAGGAGCCGAGGGCTGTTGCTATTCGCTGGTTAATAGGGGCCCTTGAGGGTTCTGTTACGACGGTATTGGTGTTGGTGTTGGTGTTGGTGTTGGAGAGCGAGGAATGACAAGTCTAGTCTAGTCTAGTCTGGATGTGTGTGATGGTATTTTCTAGTGTACAGGGAGAGAGAGGGCTTGTGTTAAATCAAGATGGTATCAAGATCACGTTGGCAAGGTTAGTATTAAGAGTGGAAATATTTCTATTGTCTTCAGTAGAAGGAAGCTACAGTATTGATGAAGGTGAGGATGTGGTTGGGCCATGTATGTGTTAACGGTATTAGCCGCAGGTATATGAGATACGGTGGCGCGGAAGGAATCCGGGAACAAGACGTTAAAGGAGATGTATTCCCTAGGAGCCGTCAGTCTCGAGCAACTCAACTAAGCCAGGTGCTATGACATGCTGTTCTCCCTATGTTCTTTACTATTACCCTCCATTATAAGACTTGGAGCATGCAGGATTCTACATGAAGCTTACTATCAAGTTCGTCAAGTCGACGAGATATCAAGGAGACCGGCAACTCCGGATCTCATCCGCCTGCCGGTAACTAGTAGATAGGTCGACTTGACAGGAGCTCTTGCAGGTATGTATATCTCCTTCTGTGTATAGTTAGGAGAAGTAGCTATACAGTTGTTCGCATTGATATCGATGCATGAGATGTCGTGACAACAGTAGCAATGGCTATAGCGGGAGCGAGTGAAAAGGGGGCACAAACAAGAGGGGCCGAAGAGAACAGTAGTGACTGGTGACTGGTGACTGGTAACCTTGAAGAGAGCCAACTAACTGGCACCTACTTGAGTAGGTTAAACTAATATCAGAAGCCAAGTCACTGTTTCTTTCCTATGAGCATTCTGCCCGTATACCCAAGTATACCGTGTAGGTTTCGTAGCAACAAGATAGACATCAGTATTAGCTATTGTATTAGCTATTGTATTAGCTATTGTATTAGCTATTGCTTAGTCCAGATTACATATTACATACCAACTATTAATAAACCATATAAGCATTCAAGACCCGAATAGCCAAACCCTCTTTCATTTACTACACGAGTTTATACGACGTAGATTTAAGCATAACATTCCACCTGCGACTAAAGCCGTCTTAAGCGACCCTTCGCGCCGAACATGACAGCTTCATCTCCTGTGTCCCCATACCGGAGTTTATGGAGGATCCACACTAGGGTGAATACGAAGTTCCCCGGCTGAAAAACCAAGGTCGGGATCGCTGATCTTAACGTAATTCACCTATGATCTAATCGTCTTTAGGGCGGCAGGGGCCGATTAAAACCGGTTTGGGATATTTTTAGCCATACATAGGTAATTATAGCTTATTCGAAGTCAGTTGCCTCATTAGAGAATATCTGCGGCTATGACAAGAAGATTCTGAGAAATCTGGGTTAAAGGCTACATAGTATCAAAGCAAAGTAACTATGAGAAGTAGACTGTGCCAATGTTAGGCTAAAAGACGCAATGGCAGATCTATTAACCTAGGATTTCCACACTTGACTCAAACAACATATTTTGAAGTAATCATCATAAAACGAGTATTAGGGGCTCGGCCAAGGGGCCTTATAGACTGAGTGTTTACTGGATCTATAGGTTCACCGCCGAGTCTGTCCCGCGCGTGACCGGTAACGGCTTGGCGATTAGGCCGGGTTCGAAGCCGGTGTGGATCTTTCTATTCTAACCGTCGCCTTCGAGGATGTCGCGGCAGGCAGAGCCCGGTTTCTAAACATTCAAGCAGCTGATAGGCCGAATTTCATGCACCGGTCGTCCCTTTTAGGTAGTTCAGATGCCGACTTTAAAAATCCGACCAAACGCGGCATGTTGTAGATGCTATCGTTACTTTTGTAGCGATACATATTTAATAAATCGCTCAAGAACCCATCGTCCATGAGCTATGTCATCAATATTAGATACCTAGCTATGAAATGCATTTTCATAGGCAAGTCTCCAGCATCTTGTCTAGGACGCCTCTAAGGGTGTCATTCTCTAAGGCTGCGGCAACCCTTTCTTTGTCGGCTAGTTGCTTGTTTACTTGGTCGTCCTGGCTGTGAGTTCCCTCTTTGATCACGATATCCACTCGGTAGTTGGGAGGAAGAGCCTGTTCTAGACGTACTCGTACACCCAGACCGATAACGGTTGCTAGTGAACAGTGGGTAATGGTAGGGGTGATCTCGACCAAGACTCGCGTCAGAGTATTGGGATCCGCACCTGTTGATGGAGACGGTGTTATATGAATGTCAGGCAAATTAACCACCGCTAGTTGGCCCAAGGAAAGTGGATGTTCAGGGTCAGAGATGGTCGATATCAGATCTGAGAAATGTCAGCTGCTAGATCAAGGATCAAGTAGAGTAGCCTTTTCTATGATTGAGCACAACCATGTCCTATCATGAGTTTCAAGGTAGAATATCTGGAACATCTGGGCGTGGGGGCCATTAGAATCTGACATTCAGACATGTCATATGGAATATGAGAAAGGCAAGAATGATGATACCAGCAACTTTGCGTTATGCTGTCTTCAAACTGAACCGTGGAACTATATACTGAGTAGGAGCAGGGCTGTCTTACCGTATACTTCCTGTTCGTCAATAGGCTCTGCAGTGAACTCGTCGTCGCTCTCTGTGCCGTCAGACCACGAGATATCGTAGAAGGGATCTGATAGATACTGTGGTTTTCGCATGACGTTACTGATTTTGGCAACGCCATTTCTTTGAACTCTGCGCCCCTTCTTACGTTGTCTTGTCGGAAGCTGCGAAGTGTTTAGGATAGTAGGATTGGCATTGTCCTTTTCCATCTTGACAGGCGTGAATATTAATGGGGAATAGTTTCACCTTTGGTAGTAATGTGACTTGAACCCGACTAACTATTACGAATAGTCTGATATAATATTATATAATGCACAATGATGGGAACGTTGTGAAAGGTTGTTGTGGCAAGCATTATTTGGTGAAAGATGTATGACCCCACGGCTTTGTTTGTTGTAGTGATGGAATTGATGTAACCAGGAATTGCGGGACTTCTATGGCGAATGCAACCTACAATGCTCAGGCGGTGGGGCTTGCGCGGAATATCGTTTACCCGATATTATCTTATCGATCTTATCAAAACAGTACCTAACAGTACCTAATTGCATATCGTCTCTCTGGTAGGCTAGTAACTTCAATTATAACGTGTATCATTGGTTGCTTACAAAAAGAAAAAGAGAAAAGTTGAGCAACTTTTAGGGTAGTATTCTGGGGAGTCCCTACATCATGTACCTAAGGCAAGCCGGCAAAGCTACCTACCTAGGTACCTACCTACCTACATACCTCTAGTACATGTAGGATGTACATATGTACCTAAGGTATGTACTGATACTATCCAAATATTACATAGTAATTAGGCACCTTTTATTCCGACCATATTCAAAATGTATTTATCGTCCCCAACGGAATTTACCGCGCATTATAATAGATCATCAACCTGCACATAATAGACAACCTTAACCAATTCTATACCAATTCTATAAATATACACCATACAACATTCGTCTTCTCCGTCTTCTCCAGATATTCGACCGGTCATCTGCCCCTGAATTTAAGAGTCTTTGATATTTGACGCGAACAAATGAGACGCGACAGATTTCCTCAGGGCTACATAGATGCAAGGGGGGTAAACTCGGCGGATACGGTGCCGGATATGTGATACAACCGTTGCAACGAGCTGCGGCTGTTTCACTGATTCGAAATTCATGCGCAATAAATTTAGCAAGACTCCGTCGTCACCATATCCAAAAAGTTGTGCTATCGGTGATATCATCGGACATTGACCTTTTCCTCTTTCCTGCTGGCAACTTTTATGGCGGATGGCGGATGGCGGATGGCGAGAGGCGCCATAATTCCGAGAAAAAACCGTACGTTATGCGGGTCATCATACTTACCTCATGTATAGTTCTTTTATTTTTTAACATATTGATTTTTACAGGTGGGGGGAGGAGGGAGGGGTTTTCATCTTCTTCTTTTCAATCTCACTTCAGCTGAACCTAGGTTAGATAGGTAGGTATTAGGTATGTATTAATTACGTAGGTTAGGTATCTAACCTAGCATCTGGGTTGTCAGGTACATACACGGAGCGTTCTCGATCTGGGCCTGTTCACCGTTCCCGTTCTCAGATCCAAACCACCGTACCTGATGATCTACAGGTGAATAAACAGACAGTCCGAATATGTCGCATGCTCCGGCCAAGTTTACCGGAAAGAGGTAAATAACAGTGTTCCTTAAGCTCGATCGGGAAAGTCTGTCATCGTACGGAACTAGCCGTCCCAAATACTTACTCGGCACGTGCTACATGCTGCTCTTTTAATATAAGAAGCAACTATTCTTGATCCTTCAGCCCTGTCAACATCCCGTATTTATGCCTACCCCAAGATCCGCTGCGCATCTTCCAGCGAGATTCGCCGTGAACCCTTATCACCGGGTCGAAATTATATCATGCGGTGGTCGACTAAACCTATATTAAACCTATATTAAACCTATATTTAGGTCATATCCTCTATGCAGTACCAGTACTCAAGCGTGAGGCCCTCACTGCCATTCGTAACCCGTAACCGTAACCGCAACGCACAAGGAGTAACACAGCTTGCGCCTATCGATTTGCGAATGCGACGGTGTACTTTTTTGCACCTAGGGGACGATCTAGTGAACCACGATTATTGATGACTATGCTATCACAAATCAATTAGTCCCATAGTCCTAATCCTTCTTCGGTAAGGTTGGAACGTAGAAGCTCGTTGATTGGACAAACCCTCATGGGGAAGCAATCTGCCTGGCAGTAACCAGGATGTCTCGGGTCTTCGGGCAGTCGAATCCTACCTAACCTACCTACTGTACATACCTGTATACGCTGTACCTGTATACGCTGTACCTATATACGCTGTACCTGTATACTATGTACAATACGTAGGTAGATGATAGATCAATGATCAATTCCGTCACGACGGTGTCATTTATCAGTTTATTAGGTTTAGGGTTCAACTGGCATGAGTAATACGACGTACAGATGGCGTACCGTATTGTGGGAAAAAGGGGTTTCTGATCTCTGATTAGTGAGCCTTGCGTGACGGCAAGACGGGGGAATGCGGGTAAGCGAAGATGGCTGACGACGACCAATTATCGCTTCAAGGATAACAGTCTTCTACATTGTCAATCGTTTATATAACCGCTCCTATTGCCTCCTGCAATGTGCGATGTGCAATGCAGATGCAAGTGCTCGCTCAGGTCGCTTCCACACGTTTGTAACTCTCCTTCTCCAGCCAACGTACCCGTTGGAATTAGGAGACACGCGAGAGCTCCCCTAGTAGGCGTTGGCGCATGCAGACCTGACCGCTAGTCTCCCAGTTAATAATGCCAGGACCGTCGACATGCGTACAGGGACGGTCTGCAGGGGCTAATTTGCATACTAATGAGGAAAGGAGACGATTCTGAAAGATGGTGTCTATCGCAGGTGAAGGTGAACTTTGAAGAGGTACGTGGTGGTTGGGATCGGTTTCGCTGGAATTATAGGCGCTAGAAAAGGCCCCGAGATGCTTGCCGGTTGGCTGTCCACGACTCCACGCATGTTGCATGTCGCATGTCGGCAGTATGTAAGTGCGTTGCCCCTGATCTGGTTCAGAAGTATGGTACATGTTCGCTCGGAGCGGCATGGCCATTGGCAGCCTATGTATGTAGGTATGATGAACGTCCGCAGTATGTATGATGTATGTCCATATGTAGGTAGGTATGTAAGTTGTGCACCTCGCAGCCCTATTCCCCTCATACCTCATATGTAGGAACGTATTCGCATGATTCGACATGCTATCATGTTATGTAGGCCACTTACTATTATCATTATGTATTATTGTATGTATCATTGCAGCCTCGGCGGCTATTGACTATGTTGCCACGACACCTTACTCGAGTACCGTAAGTAGCTCTCGTATGGGAGAGTAGGTTAGAACTGACATCTGATGCGCTTAGTTCTCCTTAAAACGTTTCAACCCTATATCGGGCCTGTTAATATCATCGGTAACCTACTGCAGTAATAAAGTACCCCGTATCCTACATACATACGGATATAGGATGCTGAGGTGGCGTATCGTGTGACAGTCGCTATGTATGTTTTCGAATTCTCTACATAGTAATAGCGCCTAATGTGAGACGATAACATGTGGAGAGTTTCTGACGGCAAATGCCTAGCCTCTGAAGACGGTGGACACTCGGTGCATGCATCTTCTAGACTTGTTCCGTGCACACTCAAGCAAGTGTACCTAAGGAGCTGGTGTCTACTTCGACTCCCGGCCGAATGGCATCGATTTTCCCGAGTAGGCTGCTGGCTGCTATGTAGATGATAAACTCCTAGCCTAGTGCGCTAATGTGAGCTAGGTTAGGTATGTACGAGAACGGAGCCGAGCTATCGATGATACAGTACATGTGTTGAAGCGCGGTATTGGCCCGCACCAACACCACACTGGGCCAACGACGACTCTGAATCCTGCGAACCATTAAAGCTAGCGATCGATCTTTAGATTGATTAAACACCACAATATATCCAGCCGAGTATGTCTAAATTGTCGAGAAAAGACCAAGCTTTATGCGTTGTATATACCGAACTGCTCGTGGAAGATCTTAATATAAACATTGCCGATGTTTTTCCAGGTTACTCTATTGTCATGCGACTCTTGCGAATATGTCAACAGATTTTCTAGTCACCGACTAAAATAAGCTAACTACATGATTTTATGACAATTATTATTATTATTATTATTATTTTACAAAAAGGGATTAAGTAAAGTTCTTACAAATCCCAGTTCAGGTTACACAATTATCTACCTAACCTACCTAGGTAGGTTATAGAAAAGGTAACTGCATCAGGTGTATGGTATGTACATTCCTAGAATACATCCATGGATGTAAGTATAGGAATTTAGGTAAGTACAGGTACGTAATGTGTAGCAGGCTCTCATATTGGGGCCGGCAGGAACCACGCGAAGACAAGGAAGGCAAAGAAGGCAAAGAAGGCACGTAAAGCAGGGGGGGGCTCCACAAGGAACCACCCCCCTTCGCGCCTTTCGGCCCCTCTCGACTCTATGCAAGTCCATGGCAAGCATGGTCAACTGGTACATGTAGTGTACACTACTCAGTCGCAGTCGTGCAGTGTACCCATTCCCCATTACACCACACCAATTAGTTACAATGCAGTGAGTAGTGTCCATATGCCCCCGTTTTTTGGGTCCTGGCGTTCTTTCCGCTGGACTCATGGCGACGCATGGTTATCCCCTCACCTACCTGAATATCGGGTCTTTCCTTCGAAAAGCAAAAAAGGACCATTTTCATGGAGCCCACTGCCTGGCATCCATGACCCGTCCCGCCTCCTTCCCACTGCGCAACTGCAACTGCAACTGCAACTGCGGTACTGTGGTACTTCGTAGGTCCTTAACCTTAAACATCCTTTTTTTTTTTTTTTTTTTTTTTTTAACAGCCTGCCGATATTTCTAATACCGTTAAGCTGTACTTAGGTCACCTTAAACTCCTTCCCCTCCGCCTTGCCTTGCCTTGTCTTGCCTCGCCTCGCCTCGCCTCGCCTGCTTGTTTGCTTTTGCTTTTGCTTGTAACTAGTCCTCCATGCCCGCGCTCCGCTAAACCCTTACTGAATACTAGCGATCGACCAGCCACAGCGATCCAACTCCATACGTTTCCGAGACGAACCAATGGTCAATTATTAAACCGGGAGGATCATAGTCTGTTGGACCCGGCCGTGAGGGTTCAGTACCCGCCGAGAGGCGAAGCAAGTCATGTCGAATAACGATCAGTCCGTTCGGAGGCTGTTACCGCAGAGCTCTAATTCATCCTTGAACTCGTTTTCCTTTGCGCCGCCGACTTATCAGCCACCTAGAGAGACTCAAAAAAGTGCGCCCTATGAGTATGCCCGTAACCATGT